TCGGTAACGTTCCTTCTGTCGTAACTACATTACCCTCCCTTTTCACGAATATACTTACCGAATTAGACTATTCACTGGATTTGTAATAACATAAGCAACACGACGGGTGCCACATGTGGAGCAGGATCTGCTTACCCTTCCGGAGCACCTGAGATCACCCCAAGTTTTTGGTGGGGTTCGTGTTGCTTAGTCTTTGGTTTTCTATGTTGTGTCATCTGTACTATTATTTGTCTGTTTGTCTTTTTATTTTTGGCCATGGCGTTGTCAGTTTGTTTTCGATCTATGAGTTTGAATGTCCCTCTGGTATCTTTCGTCCCTCTTTTATGAAGAAAGAAAAGAAACTATCATTATCTTTCTACTTCTCTTTCCACTATATAAATAATGTCCTATCACTGAACTCGAAATTAACAATGAGGGTCGGCTGAGAACAGAACTTTACGACAAAGGAGTTGATTTCAGCTTCCCTATTGGGAACTTTCATTTCATTGTAGCAACATTTCATCAGTGCCTGCATTGAGTATATATATTCTAAGTGCTTCCAGAGCTTGCATTTACTTTCATGATTTCCTTGATAGAAGGAAGCTATTAAACTTGAATTCAAATAGTTGAGATGAAATCTTCCCTTCGAAAATGTAACGGACGTCATTACGAGTTGGTTGACCTTTATGGAATATCCGATTCACAGATGACTACGGATATGTTTCAATTATCGTAACCACCATCCCGTCCTCTTTGCCTTGAATGTGACCTACCGAATTAGACTTACCAAACGGTCAGTCCGTACTAGTGGACTAGTGCAACATATGGAGCAGAGTCTACGTATTCTTCCACCACCCATGAGGTCACCCCAAGATTTTGGTTAGGGTCTGTGTTGCTCAGTTTTTGGTTTTATATGTTGTGTTTTGTATACTGTTGTTTGTCTTTTGGTGTTTTTTTTTCGTTTTTTGCCCCGGCTTTGTCAGTTTGTTTTCAACTTATGAGTTTGAATGTCCCTTTGATAAATTTTGCCTTTCTTTTAGTAATGAAAGTTTTAAAAATTGTGGTTGAATCTATTATGATTAAGAATTGGTTATATATCCCCGTGAGCAAATTAACTTATTTTCGCTGATATTTTTTTAATGAGTTAAGTCCTCTTTACTTTACTGTAAGGCGATTTTTTTTTCGATTTTCATTTCTGCAACGAAGTGTCTTTAAAGTAAAATGATACCAAGGGAACAATCTAAAGCCACGAATCAAAGAAACTAAGATAACACTATGACCAAAATAAAATAAAAAACAGCCCAACAGACAAACAACAGTCTACTAAGCACAACACTGAAATGTAAAAACGAACACTACCTAAAACCGTGAAAGGTCTTAATGTGGGAGGAAGGATATTCAACCTTTCATATATTCAATAACACAACTACTAATAATTTCGTTACATACACAATAACCAGCATTTGTGTTTAAAAGCTTGTGGTGAAATCGACCAAAACAGATTTCATTTGAATATTGAACCTATTCATCCCCGAGATTCAAGTTTCTGAACACATTTATCACGTCTAGACGTTTTAAAAAACAAAAAACTGCAGCAACATTATTTCTAGTTCGTTTTTATCACGCTAAAGACAATCAAGAGTTTCCGAACGCTGGTTACTTAATTCAATGTTGCCATCGATTTAGTCGAAAAGTCATGTTTGCATTTCAACATCACTTAAGAAGGTAAATAAGTTTGACTTCGAAAAAAACATCTGTTTACCTCAATTAGCTAGTATGTTTCTTTTCGAACGTTCAATATCCCTTCTTTTATTATGGAAAATTATTGTCCTCCCTGACATTGACAATTAACGATGTGATATCTAAACGTAGAAAAGCAAAATTATCGATATTTGCAGATGGCAGTTTATAGGGCAACTGCAAACATTTTAACAAAAGGCTGTTCCAAGAACATTATATATTAATTACATCTACAAATTATGAAAAATATTTCTTGACCTAAAAACCATACATTTATTTAATTTTTGAGCATACAAATATCGATCCCCCAAGATATATTTTTTTTTTAGAGGATTTTCTCATTTTGTAGTATTTGTTAAGAATTTCAATTTTCGGGAAATATTGCGCAACTAACCTCTTATTTTTTGTTTGATTCGGGATCACTGTATCCTGTTCTATAAGGATCATATGAAATTTTTGGAAAATTTTATCCTTAAAGAACTAGAAAATAGGAATTTGTTTTATTATCGCAAAAATATGGAGTATTTATTCTTGACTTTTGACCTTGATTTAACGGAAATTGCACCGTACGATTTTTTTTACGACCGGGCAAAACAGAATGTACTGATGATTTTGAATGATATATAATACAGCCGTGTGTTAGGTGGGTGCATTAAAGTCCTTAAGTAAGCGTCTTTTTGAAAAATGTCACTCGCCCAAAGCTTTTTGCAGGCTACAGGTTGTTCAAATTGTCAGTTGTTTTAAAAAATATACAGGCAAAACACTTCTGTGTGAATGGAAAAAACATGAATAATAGAATGTCAAAATGAAATGTTAGGAGACAGCTTTTAAAATGTTCTTTCAGAAAATAAAAATACAGATTGGGGTCGGAGTAGTCGTTATCTTGCTACTAAACATATTGATTAATTTACTATATATTCCTATTATCTGAATTTTGTATCCCTTTACGTGAGTAAATTAAAACTTTTGGATCAAACAACCCAACTTATTTTATTTGTAAAAACAGTCGATATACCTATATAGTTTCTATTCAGTTAGATGAAAAGTCTAACAAATGAACTACATTCCTTTTTCAAAATTTTCACATTTCATTATAGAACTAGAACGATTGTGTTTTGCATTTTTACTGTTCATGAAATAGGAACAAATTCAAACTTCCTTCAGTCAAATATATCAATTTCAGTATAACAGTTTCCATTTAAGTATCCATATTATATTAGCCTATCCATTAACCAATTAACAAAAAAATCATAATTAAATTAAATGAACAATGTCTATAATTTTACAGTATCAAAGGTCAGTTCAAGTTCTAATCATTCCTCCTATGACCGTAATTATTTTATCTAATGAAAAATGAAAAATGAAGAAAGAGTAATTTACTGTAAGTAATTCTTTTTTCCTGTAAGTAATTCTATTTTCGCAAGAGACTTCGCGATAGAAAAAAGTACGTAAATAAAAATAGTCGGCAATATATTGGATACGTTTGATCTTTATATATATATATATATATTTATTACTCATCAACAAAATAACTCGTCGCGTAGCAAATAAGAAAGATCTTAACATATTTGAAACCGAATGGTAAATGTTAAACTTGTAATGTTGAATATTTAATTGAATATTGACCATCGAACATTTCGCTAGTGAATAGAGACACAGACGCATTGTATCGATGAACCAATTTGTGATGATGAGCGTAAAACTTATGTAGTGTCTATCTCAATCGTTCTCTCAGATAACTCTAATGGGGCAATTTTGTTGTAGGTCCTAGCTCCAGTTAATGAAGCATGATTGACATGAACATGCACGAGTGTAAGGTTAAACTACAAACATAACATTTTTCCGAGATCTCCCTTGAATGATAAGGCAACATTCACGACATCTTCTGATAAAGTATTATACTTATACAGATATCTGCGTAAAATATTTTTTTAGTAAGACTTTGCTCATATTTACTTTTACCTTAAATTTCAAGTAAAATGCATTTTTTCGTTCAAATATGACATGTTTATAATGTCACAGAGTGGGATACAAGGCAATCGTTTAAACGTGATAATGGATCTGCCTGAATTAGGAAGCCGAAAATTGAAAAGTAAAGTTGTAAATTTGAACGAAAAACGTTGAACGCAAATCATGAATGTACAGTACTGATAATTAAATATTTAGTGTTAAATATCAAAATCATATGCGATGTTAAAAATAAAGTTGGATGCTAAACATTTAGTGAAAATTAGAATTGACCGTTAAAACTTAAACTATAAATGTAACATCTGAATGTTGAGATCAAAATATAAATTTTGTGATTTTTAACATGTTGAATACAAATATCAAAATAAAGCGCTGAAAATTGTCCAACTAAACTTTCAAAATCTAAAAATTAATATCGGTTGCTATGTCATAAATAAAACTTGCATATATATTTTTTGTTATGTTTACAGCAGAAGACTAAACCTTGAAACATGTAACCTTGATATGCATTAAGTATTTAAAAATAATTTGATTGTTTTTCGATATGTCTTTTAGCTTTCAATATACATATATATATATTTATATATATATATGGATTTATCAGTACAAAGATTAATACAATTACACAAATGAAATTAAATATTGCCTAACAATGTAATATTAACACACTATTTAGCATGTTAATATTACACTTGGGCAACAACGTAAAAATCTAGTTGTTCGGGGATAGAATAAAAACAGTATTGATACAGCTTTCGAAAAAGCAAACAGAATTAACCGCAAATAACTGCTTAAGTATAAGGATAAGAATAACGGAGTCAACAGAACAGCTCTTGTACTCACTAAACATCCTGATTTTAAAAATGGTGTGGATGAACGCAACTATGGACTTCAACAATGAGCGAAACCAATGCCGTATATTTAGCTATAAAAGACACCAACATGACAAAATACTAACCATTCAAAAGAATAATCGGAATAATTTATGCTTTAACTTGATTTTTATCTTCTAAACAGATTTATGAAATGTTATACTATTGTTGCCACTCAGTTTTATATTCCGTGCGATTTGGATTATTTTCATTGCTTGATTTCATTTTTATAACTTGATTTAAATCTTCTGGGTGAAGTTAATATCGATTCCGTTCTATGCTTCCGGATCCTTCTCTTGTATTGATATGATATCTTCCTTCACATACGAAATATTTAGTGAAATCGACATTTGGCTATATTCAAATTCTTAATAAAACAAAAAAGGCATGTCTTCAAGGTAATAATAAATATTTGATAAGAATAAGCACAATTTTACATACCACAGCATTGCCTATAAAATAATAATTTATAATGTAAATAATGTTTCAATCTTCATTAATGTCAAAAAAGTGTATAAATACGTTTCATATTGTAACGAACCGACGCCACTGGCCGTGTAATTGTAGAAAGGTCTGTTGACAATTTTTGGTCTCATACTTTCGTCAGGAATTTTGCATCTCGGGTTCCTACCTCCAAAAACAAATGGAGGACATGCGATGTATATTTTATATTCTGGTTCAAATTGCAAAGCACAAGTTGTAAACGTATATAATATTTATTTACATATATACAAATGCAGACGACAAACCAATATTACATGAATTGGAATGTAATTGTTCGAGAAATTTATGGTTACTCAGTGTGGTGGGGGATAATTACCACTACTTTGTTTTTCTTAAAAATAAATCATTTCTAGTTTCCTTAATTCTACTTAGATAAACCTGTTTAATTATTCCTCCACTTCAAAAGTATAGTTGTGGAAATAAACAGTGTTATATAGAAGCAATAGCAAATTCTATAAACAATGAGTTGTCTGTTTGTTTTGTTCACACATTGTTGTCAATATAATGGAATTCGATGCGACTGTCATACAAGTGACAGATTTAGCTAGCTATAAAACCAAGTTTAATCTACCATTTTCTACATAAGGAAATGCCTGTACGAAGTCAGGAATATGACAGTTGTTTTCCATTCGTTTGATGTGTTTGAGCTTTTGATTTTGCCTTTTAATAAGGAACTTTCTGCTTCGAATTTTCCTTGGAGCTCGGTATTTTTTATATTTTACTTTTTGTATTTCTTACTCTGGAAGATTACTATATAATTTTAAAGTATGTATTTGCAACAACAAAAATATTTTCCTTAGCGGTCACATGATCAGTAAAATGGCTCTTAACGGGGAAACGGGAACAATGGTGGAGAACGATGAAAAGTCTTAACTATTGCCGTTCTTAATCAAATTCATGACTTACGATTGGTTGGAACATAATTTCAGGTTTATGAATATTTGTGCCACACACCTTGCCAGCTATGAAAATATGTTATAAAGTGAAGGAAGTGTGGTAAAAAAAAATGGAAAGGGTACTTGCCAAACAAAATTGAAAAACATTCAAAGGTACAAATGTAAAAACATGAGCAGTTCACGTTAATGTTTATACAGTCACTTATATTTTCCATTGCAGGTTTGCTCCATTAAAGTGTATATCCACATGTTGTTGTTGTTTTTCTTTCTCAGGATCAAGTGTTAAATTACATTTTGTAATATTTGTTATTCCAGTTGTTACAATATTAAAGGCAAACGTATGATACAGTCAATTATTTACGACTTGCACACATAAAATCCTCGTCAAACAAAGGACGTCTTTTAAGCCTGGTATCTTTGACTAGTTTTCAACTTTTTTTTAATGTTCTTTATATATTATGTTATATAGATACAATGGATAAGCGTGGATTCTTGAAAAAGAAACCATGAGCCCGGAGGGCGAATGGTTTGTTTTTCATGAATCTACGCTTATCCATTGTATCTATAACTTAAACTATTGTGTTAATTTCTTTTCAAAATTAAAGCCTTTTCTTAATTAGAAGGTATTGTAAGTGAGTTTAAATAACCATGTTATCGTGTCCAACGATGCATTGATAAATCTCAGATCACAATTAATTGGTTAACAAAATACAAATATAACACTTCTACCTTTAAATATCTTTATATTATCGGGCATCTGAATATTATCTGTTTTTACAAAATAAGACATATTCGAACTTATTTCTAATAAAATTGAGAATGGAAATGGGGAATGTGTCAAAGAAACAACAACCCGACCAAAGAGCATATATAAAGTCTATATATAATAAGTATGTTACCGAAATTTCTAGCACTCTAGGCACATCACGATTTTCTCGCATAGGAATTTGCGAACAAACATTTGTAAAATTATGTAGTAAGACAGATGAAATCATACTATATTTATACAACAAAAATTGACAAATAGAATGTAATCATTTTTGTTTCAAACATGTGAAATAGTCAATAATAATCCAAAAAATAAACGGTAAAACTCGCTATTATTACAAAAATATCCACTATAACATGCAAAATTAGAAAAAAAAAACAGAATTGGGACAACAGAGATAATACAGGGATTCGAACCTAAACCGACAAATCCCTATCTTTTAACTCGTTGATTTAAAGCATGCTAACCTCGCGGCTACCAACTTATACTATACGACTGCCCATTGTGTATATATATAAAGGTACAACCCCTGTGTGTCCGATGTTCATTTATATATATAAAATAGACATATAAGTTGTAACCTATTGGTAGCCGAGAGGTTTCGTCGATGTGTTGATGTCGGTCATTTATAACAGATTTCAAGGAAGGGTTCGATTCCCATTGAAGCCATATACAAATTACAAAAATTACAAATTACAAAAATTTAAGGTAAGTTTTTAAATTATTTCCATTAGTGAACAGAAATCAGTAAATTAGCCAATTCAAACTTAATGAAATTAGACACACAAAGGAAACAATTGAATATAATTTGGTAAGTCCATTTCAGTGGTAGATTTAGGAAGCGTTGATTCTAGAAAAAGAATCCACGGTAAATGAATAGGTTGACGTCACCACAATGGTTTAATCTGTCTGACACCTGTAATGTCATATATCAATATAAAAACAAATGACCTAAATTGTTAAAAGTTCTAGTTTGGTCAATGTTTTTAGAATTGTACATGTAAACAACGGAACAGTGATATTATTTACTGATAAAAACTCATCAAAGATAACAGGTTTATACGTTGAACGTCAGACGCGCAATTTGTGAACATCATTCTCATCAGTGGCGTTCTTATCAAAACACCTGGAAAGCGAAATCAAATACAAATTGAAGACCATGAATAACATAAACATTAGAAAAGTTGTGCAAAAACCGGCTAAGACAATCTTTACATGGGTATAAAAAAAACCTCAGTATTGAAAATCAATTGTGCTAATAAAATTGCATCTTTAAAAGTCACAAGTCACAAGTCAAACACAAATATCTTAGAATAAAGTCTTTGACTTATACGACAACTTTCATCAACGCCCAATTATTTTTCATTAACACTGCTGCTCAAATGTTATTTTACCTAATATCATATTGTAATTATACAAAATAAATGTTCCCGATAGAGTATTATCAAGCAGTTAGTAAGCTATGTAAAGGAGACCAAGGACATATGACATAGGCAAAATAGAAATTTTCAATGTAATGTATTAGTGAGGCTTAATAATCTTAGTTTAAGTTTAATTGCATGTATTATAAACTGCAAATCTAATTAGAGAGTACGATAATGATAAAAATGACAAATGCTAAAAACAAACTAATAAAGCAGCACACAAAGAAACTGAATATATGAAATCCTAAAGCACAGCGTATTCAAAGGAGTAATGCCAATAAAGGAAAACTTGGTACAGGAATTTCCTTATGTAGGAAATGGTGGATTAACCCTGGTTTTACTGCCAGCTAAACCTCTCACTTGTATGACAGTCGCATGAACTTTCATTATATTGACACAATAGGTAAAAATGTCAACGTAGGACTAAAAAGTTAAGGTTAATAATTTAAAAAGACAATAAAAGAACACTATAACACATAATTAAGATTATAAACAACGTCAGTACCTAGAATCTATACTTCAAGGCCATCATGTAAATTTGTGAAGTTGATACGGAATATTTTTCAACAAGATCTTGGTATCTTCCGATGAACTTTTTTAGAAAATGTACGTGACGTTCTTTGACATTACCCTGGTTCATCAGCTTTCTACTCAGACACTGGTGAAGTTTTATAACGTCTGGGTAGCAGCTGCAAGCTCTTAAATACTGAATGAGTTGGGAAATGTATATCCCATTTGCAGGTGAAGTTGGTATATTACTACTAAGTTGGGGGAAATTGATAATTTCAAAATTGAAATCGTCTCGTTTGTCATAGATTCTGGTACTGAGATGACCGCTAATGTCAACTTCGAGGTATAAGTCTAAAAATGAGGCGAAGGATGCTGTGTCTGTTGATTCTTGAATTTCTAGTTTTGGACGATATATTAATGGAACCCAATCAGAAAAGTTTGGATTGTTATTGGAAAAAACATCATCAATATATCTGATTCAACAAATAATTGTCAATAAGAAACTTCAGCATACTGATCTCTTGTTCCTCTGTGTAGCATGTTTTTGCTTTTTGATCACTATTAACAAAATATTCCGTATGGTATCCAAAAGTAATAAATTTATAGCGTATGCTACTATTTTTATATTGAAAAGCATTGTGAGTTATTTCTTTTAGACGATTTTTTTAATTTCACACGGGGAATGGTATACAGGGTTGAAAAATCGAAATTTTTGAAAGAATTAATTTCAGAGAAAGACCGAGATTCAAAACTATCCAGAAGTTGTTTAGGTTTTATAGAATTCACATATGTAAATAGCACTACGCTTTCACGGTATTTCTTCCACTGCGGACAGAATTTTTGTCAATCTAATAGACAAATCCTTTGTAGAACTTGAAGATGAGCCGGCAATGTATCGTTGTTTGTACGGAATTTTGTGAAGTTTAGGTATCGAATCCAAACAAGGTAAGTTCTCAGATTTGCTGTTCAATTTAATGTTCATTGAAGCCATAAAGGACTTATAATTCGCCAAAATATCATCCTTGTCAAATGATATGTTTTTGTATGTGGAATTACCTGAGTGCTCATTTATTCCTTATTCTTTTAAGAGACACTCGTAGTAGTACGATTTATATACAAAGGCAATATTATTTGTAGCTTGGCCGCAGGAACAACAGCATATTTTTCGTGAAGAGATGATAGACATTTCACAGCTTCTTTGTCTCTGAAAATGGTCGATCATTCACACAGTTTTTCAACTTATAAAAACTTGATTGTTTTGAGTCATTCTGACAAAGAATGCAGTTCAACGTCTTCTCGTTTAGCCCATACTCTGGTGTAGTCTTCAATGGAATCCATAATTAGGTGATAGAACGTTTAAGCGAATCATATGTTTGTGACCGTATTTGTTGTTTAGGTTAATTTCAATTTAGTTCAAAACACTTTCAACATTTTAAATTATATAAATTGAATTGAATTTCAATTAAATAGAATTATTTTCAAAATGATTCAGCTTTTTTAATACTTACCTTCAACCAATTGTGCGCATTCTTTAAATCCACATGTGTATAATATCCCTATGAACTTCATGAAGCAACATTTTTCTTTCACTACATCAAGAAGTTTTTTTACACGCTTTTGTGTAGTCAAATTTATAATTTGGAACTTTTCTTCGCCGGTTATTATATTATTCTCATGCATTCGCCTTGCAATTTCTGGTACTCCTTCATGAGTTATAGTCCTTTCGATGGTTTCCCTGTGTTTTTCAAAGTTTCGATAGTATTCCATTTGTGCACTAGACAAAATAACACCTAGAAATAACTTGAAATCTCAGAATTGAAATAAGAAGATATTCTGCGACCGTTGATTTCTATTGAATGTTTGTTGTCTTAAAAACTGAAACAAGAAATAAGATGACTTTTGTTATTAAAATTGTTATTCATGATATTACCTGCCGATATCTTTGTTAATAACAAGAAATTGCGATAATCTATACAAAGATAACAATAGGAAAACAAGAGATTAAAAAAACGGGACAATAGAAAAGTAGCTTTTCAATTTATCAAGGTAAGATTATAAGTCCATATTTGTTATTTTACTTTGTTAACCGCACTGTTTAAACGTAATTTCAAAACAATGTTGTGTATTGTCAGTCATTCGGGAAAAATTGAACAAAATTAAAAAAAAAAACAGACGATAAAACCAAAAACAGACATAAAAAATGTACAAACAGACGTTACAAATTAAAAACAGAGGTTGAAACTAAAACAGATTATTTTGGATAGGGACAGAAATGAAATGATAGTATACAGGATAGGGACAGAAATTTTGCCTTGCAACAGGTCACCTATGAACCCCTCACAGAGTTGCTGCAAATGTTCGCAACGTGCAGAGAGCGTGGCACTCTACACGATGCATCGGATTAATTTCCCCATTCATTCTGACCGGACGTGGCTGAGAACTTGTGCATTCCGTACAGCCAAACTGACGCCCTACTTGGCAAGGGTTTTACGTCCGATCAGATAAGAACTAAGCGACCATAATTCTATTCCCCAGGTACCCATAAGGTGATTTTGGAAAACAAATAGTCTAAATTGGAATTAACATTAAAATATAAGCTTGTCCAAGGCCTGATGAAAATGAATATTTGTCCTATAAAATGCAGTACTTTGCACGAAATAGTTGTATACAAAAAGTGAAAATAGATACGCCGTACTTTCAAACTATGTATAATGAACATTCTATCAGCCCAAAATACTCCTCCCACTGAAAATCAAATGGTCCCCTAAAGCTTTAAAATTCAATCAGGTTTTACTGAGCAATTTATGAGTTTTTGTTATATAAATAGGTAAATACCTTATTTTCATAATATTATCATAATCATTTTTATTCAATATATGTAACTTCCTTAAATATTCATAATAAAAATCCACGTTCTAAATATCTAGTTTTATGTACACTTAATCCACGCCAGGCATACATTGACTATCGACTGCATGAAGTCAAAACTTGTTTTTAACTACATGTAAACATTGATTTGTATCAATGGGAACGTAATGGAGTTCAGTTTAAGTGTTGAGTACACTTACACCACACCGAGTTTAGCTCAATATAAAGACGATTTTAGTTCCTCATTACAGACTTGATCTTATTTAAATGAGAATTAATCTGCAATTTTATTTTTATTTTTATGTCACTTGAGAGCCTGCATTCAGTTTATAACAGAGGTCATTTTGAAAAGAGGGGATCAATTCCCCTTAATTCATTTCACGCCGTGTCAACTTTAAAAAACAATCTCCTAATCATTACTAAAATTCACAGAATGGCAGCTTCGTGTGTGACCTTTGAAGTTCTTACAACATTAAGGGATATGTTTTAATAAGTTGAAAAAAGTGCTCTTAAAACTGCACTTTTTGTACAATTTTGGCAAATTATCAAAAATGGTAAAAAAAAAGAATAAGACGGATAATCTTGACCATACTGAATTGGAATTGAAGCTATATTTTTTTTGAAATTAACTATCAACTGCAGTTACTTGTTTTACTTTTTTGTTGTTGTCGTCTATATATTTATTTGTATGTTTGTTTGAATTGTGTAGTCAGTGTATGGTGTTAATCTGTGATATTTTAAAAAGTGTTGGCTGCTAGATCCCAATAATTCTAGTGACAAAATTGCCTTATGGACTCCAGTAGAAGTGGATAACTAGGGTTGCAAGATATAAGTCCAATCACGATGTTGCCTATCCGCCTTTCATGGAATTCTTTGCACTTATTAGAGAGATCAGTAAGATCAAGAACGATTCAGGGTTCAACTTCGAATCATATGTTACATTAATCATAAAAGGTGCTGCGCCATATGATGGCAGTTGAATAGCATCTTGGCGACAGCGGTCAACAACAAGATCTGTGTATCCTACACAAGACAAAGCATCCCTTGAACGAATGCTGAGCGTTCCAAGCCAAATCAATTGAGGAACGCAAGGAATTGTTAAGACAAAACAAAGTGTTACAAGTTCTGTGAGTCAACTTCACACGTAAGTCGGGATTGCACCGCGAGGATCAGTTGTAACGAGTGTGGAAGTCAACGACACACCACCGCACTGCACATGACAAGGGTGCAACTACACGAAAATTCTCAATCTAGTTTCTCCTGCACAATCTACGGCGGGGAGAAAACAGAGTCAGCTTAAATCAAGTTAACATCTGTGAGTTCAACCTGCACAAAGATCCTAAGAGTGAGAAATATTGTGCTAAGATATAACCCGTGAATGTGTTTCATAAGGACAAGGTGGACAAAACTATCCGGATGTATGCCATCATTGACGACCAAGGTTACCGGTCTCTTGCCTCGCCCGAATTCTTCAGTCTTTTTTACATCCGTGATAAAACGGAAAACTACAATCTATAAACATGCTGCTAATAGGATGAGACCTTATAGAGGCACGCCGCGTCCTTGAACAATGCTTAGGACCACCTAGAACTCAATTTGCCCAAAAGTTGAAATTTGGTTGGGTCACAATTGGAAGTACACAAATTATAAACAAACTGTTCCGCTTGAAGTCAGCACGAAGACGAATAACATATTGCTTACTGAATCAGAACGACTTGTTCCCTCGCTACCAGAAATAGCTTTCGAGGACAAAAATGAAATACTAGTATTTGGCCAAGATAACAACCAAACATTTATGATTCGAATGTCAAAGTTGCAAAAATGCATGCCATACAATTACCTGAGTGTACTGGATCCTGCACCAAGACTAGTAGATTCACGAATTTCTCTAAGGGAACAGCACTTGTGTCACCAAAAGTGAAATCTATGACTTCTATGGAGAATTCTATGGATAACCCAAATTTCATTCTGGAACAAGTAAGACATGAAGTTCACAGAAGAGAAATACGTTTCATTCGCAAACAACAACCTATTACGAAGCAAAGACCGATGGCCTAACTCAATCCGCCTTTGGACAAACAAGGACTACTCCGAGAAGGAAGCTGTATCGTCAATTCTGACTTGAATCGTAATGAAAAGGAACCAGTGATCCTATCTGGATATCATCATATAGTAACGTCTTTTGGCAGACACTTCTACGACAACATCAAACATCGAGGTTGCCACTTCATAGATATAGCAACTAGATCCGAAGGATGAAACGTAAGGACGAAACGCTTGATTTCGTCTATTATACACAAATATGTGACATTCCGCAAACTCAGAAGAGGACCAAGTACTTACTCTCGTCTGACCTACCAAAGGACCATCTTCGATCGTCATCGCCATCTATCTACGTTGGAAAAAAATAGGTCATACCGTCGCAACAGCAACAATAGAAGATGCCATACCTCATAGTGATCTTGTCGGAGACATCCTTTTTCTAAATGATAAGAGACTGTGTCGAACCCAGTTTCCCGTGTGATAAATTTAAACTCTAAAGCGAAAAGTTGAGAACCGACATTTCTCACATGGCCAATAGTGGAATTGATTCCTGTACCCTGTACATATTCAATTTATGTTGGGATTTATTTAATTTATATTCATACGCGATGTATCTATGGAATAGTGATAACGGATATATATCAGATGAGGAGTCTTCTGTAACATCATTCATTATTTATAGTTCGTTGGTTATAATCTTGATCTCTTTATGTGTTCCTGACCTAGGAGGATTATACATCTTTAAGCCGTATAAGAACTTCAAAATATCGAAGTTACTGTTTCCTGTTCCCTTTCTCACATGTATCTATTACAAGAAAACTGCAAGGTCATTACGATACAGAGGAACATTTCGTACAGATGTCATCTTGGACGTGATTTAGGGCTAACCACAGACTTTTTACCATTTGTTAGATTGGTTCTTGATTAAAGTATCAGCACCTGATAGTCTTTTCTGCTTGAGCCCAATCGTCGGTTATACTTAATGGTCAGGCAATTACAGAAAGCATTATTTTTTGAGACACTCGTGTCGGTCAAGTATTCGTGATGGTGACCATAAAACGTATGTGGTATCGATTTAAGTTGTGCTTACTAATTCCCTTTCTTGGTCAGTTTTATGATATTGTCGCACAACGTTTTATTGAAGTCCGTATATATCTTTAACATGCACTGGCGTAAAGTATCGTACCAATTACGATAGATAAACATCGTATAATGGGACAGAGGGTATATTAAAACTGATAAATGTGAAGTTGATAATGAGGGAATTAAAATTGTCTTGTGTAAGGCAATCGAAATTATGTGCAAAACTGTCTTCAACAATAAAGCATAACGCTGAATTAAGTTTGATATTATGGATATGTTTGAAACTATTGTAAAATCTCTAATATATATTATGTTGATTTGTTGATATTTACATTCCAATAAGTTATAATGTCCGGATATTTAACAATGTAAAAGAGTGAAAAAAATTTAGGTGAAATAGAGCCTACATCTGAAAAGTGGTTGTGACATTTTAAAACGTTTCTATTATTCATGTTTCATAAATCAAGACAATGTGTCCCACATAGTGATCAGACATATTCTGTTTAAACTTTAAAATATTACTATATGAGAATAGCCTGGTGCAGTATGGGACCCATACCAACAAAATGTAATACAGATTGGATATTGTTCAAAGGAGGACAACAAGGTATGTTATATACTAACAGATATCACAACAACTCATCTGTAAGTAACAAGCTTGGACATCTTGAATGTATTTCCCTGCAAGAACGAAGTAAACACAGCCGCTTAATAGTAATAACAACTATGTCAAGATTATGTAAACATAAACACTGAGGACAAACTTTTTTTCCATTTTTACTTTTTAAGATGATGTTTTACCAAGTATGTGTTTTTATACTAACTGTATCATTACATCAGCAAACAGAGCATCACATGTGTAACAATTTAAATGTAGTGCCATATTTTAACAGTACTTCTGAAATATTACACTGTCAAAACTCTACAGGCACGTATAACGTGACACTAGCAAACGACCTAGGTATTGGATTTCACTTCATGATTTTTTACCACATAAAGCACAGCAGACGATGCCCAGCATATATCCAAGTTGAGTTTAAGCAACGACATCACAGACTACTTATACTTCTTGTCATTAGCGGTGATAAAATACTCAGTCCAGGACCAGCAAAATCCATGCGGTCACTGCTATAAAGCATTTGCGAAAAACCACCGTGCAGTTCTATGTGAGGCTTGCAACCACTGGTGGCACATTAAATGTGCCAATATTTCACCTACCATTTACACTGAACTATGTAATTCTGTGGATCCATGGTTATACAATGACTGCAACTCATTTAAGTTTACCAACTCATTTTTTGATATTTCGTTATAGACGAAAATTCTATGAAAACTAGCAACTTATCTTCATCAACAGAAGGTTCAGACAGAGTCATCTTTACTGAACGTAGAGAAACTAGAAAGAAACATATGAACTACTTTCATATAAATACTAACAGTATGCGTTACAAGTTTGACGAAATTAAACCGATTTTAATTGATAAAATTGATAACTGTCTAATAATTTCTAAATTAAATTAGATTCTTCTATTAAAGACTCCTTATTTGAAGTTGGTGGGTATAAACTACAGCGAAGAGACCGTACTAACAATAGAGGAGGTATAGCTACTTTCATGCGAGCTGACATACCAGTCAAAAGAAGACTTGACATTGAATGTAAGATTCTTGAAAAAATTGTTTACGAGATTACTCTTGATAAAAGAAAATGGTTAATTTATGCCATTTATCGTCCATTTATCGTCCACAAGCAATGGCGAATAATATATTTATTCATAAATATCCTCTTAGATAAAGGTTCTACATTTGTAGAAAATTATATGGTTATTGGTGATGTTAACTATGATTTTATGGTTAAAAACAAATCACAATTGTTGGAAGATATATGTGATATTTTTGATCTGTCAAATATAGTGAAAAAAACCTACATGCTATATGAAAGGATATGAACCATCCCTTGTAGGTGTTATTTTACAAATAGAACAACTCTTTGTTTCAAAACACCGAATTTTAACACTGGTGTTAGTGATTGTCATCATATGATATTTTCTTTTATAACAGGTCATTCACCTTATTATGTAAACACAAGACACAATATAGACGTTTTGAATCTTTTGATGTTGAAAAGTATATAAATGATCTTGATAATTTTAATTTTTTACATGATTAAGATGAATGTATAGATGAAATAAACTTAGTATATAATGATTTTGAAACTAAAGTCTCTGAGGTAACAAATTGTCATGGACCGATGAAGTACAGATACCCTTGAAAAAACTCATATTCTATTTCTACATAAGTATAAATCATTATGATGATGTCAAAGAGACCCATTTCAGTCATATCTGATTACTTATCTTAAATCATTCTCAAAGTAGGTATGTATGTATTTAAAACCGCAAAATAATAACGTTTAAAGGCAGACTTTTGAATGATGAGTCATATGTTCTTGACTTTATATACACTATTTAAATTGTTAATTTTTCTTTTAAATAAAATTCACTGTATACTTGGAAATGATTAAGGAAGTTGGTCGTATGTACTGTGATAAATTGGTCACATTATTTTCAAATAATGTTTTATCATTTCGGGATAATAATAATGTGCTGTAACTTGCATATATATCATATATCAAAGTAAACACGCAGTTTATATTTATGATAAACATTTTGATGTTAAACCTATACATGTTGACACTGTAGACAAACTGGTGAAAAAGATCAGTATAGAAAAGCTACAGGAGTAGATCAGATATCATCTAAGCTATTACGAGCTGGTGCACCAATACTGAACAAACATATAACAACACTTATAAATAATACCATAGAATCAAGTGAATTTCCAAACAGACTTAAAGAAGCTCAGGTCGTACCACTACACAAGAAGAACAATCCACTTGATAAAAAGAACTATAGACCTCTGAGCATTTTACCTACATTCTCAAAAGTATATGAAATGGTTATGTCTGACCAGTTAACAGAATTTTTTGAAAATATATTTCATGCTTTTCTATGTGCATTTAGAAAACGTAAAGGATGTCAGACAACCTTGCTGAGACTCCTTGAAAATTAGAAAACAGCTCTGGATAAAAATACGTATGTGTCAGCAATACTTATGGATCTTTCGAAAGCTTTTGACTGTCTGCCACATGACATTCTTTTAAGTAAATTATCTGCCTATGGTCTTTCTTCAAAATCAGTGAAATTACTTCAAAATTATCTTACAGATCGTAGGCAACAAATCAAACTTCAGGAAGTACTTAGCAGTTTGGCTGACATCCAGAAAGGGGTACCCCAAGGCTTAATTCTTGGACCTCTATTATTTAATATTCTATTTTATTGAACATGGTACCCTGAATAACTATGCTGCCGATAATACTCTGTCATATGCGGACAATTTTGAAAATTTATTATGTACACTTGAAAGAAAAAGTGCTGTTTTAATTGATTGGTCTAGATATAATTGTATGCAGGCAAATCCTGATAAATTCCAAGCCATTGCAGTTGGAAATAAAACATTTACAAAGAAGCCTGTTTTTAAAATACAGTCAGCAAAAATATCATGTGATGAGATTGTCAAACTTTTAGGTATTGATATTGATTATCAGCTCAATTTTAATCACCACATTAAAAATATTTGTCGTAAAGCATCTCAACAACTGAATGTTTTAAAGCGCATCGGTTGCTATCTAACTAAATTAAATTAATTGACCTTTTTCAAACCTTTATTTTATCCATTTTAATTTTTGTCCTATGGCATGGCGTTTTAGCAACAAAAATAATAAAACTAAATTAGAAAAAATCAGGAAAGGGCCCTTCCAGAAATAACAATGAAAAGGCATTCAGAATTTCATCATGTAAAACAACTGTACGGAAGGAGTCGTTTTATCCTAAAACAATCAGATAATGGAACACCTTGCCCTACTGTACTGTCTCCGCTGAATCTTGCAAGGCCCAAATCCGTCATTAAATTCAAATGACATGTTTTAATTGCACCCATTTTTGTTTATTCAATTTCAAAAAATTACATACGCTCACTCCAAAAATGTGGCAGATTAGTCAACCAGTTGACGGTGGCCGCTTACCGGAAAAGGCAGTAAGTGAAAATGATTATTATACAAAAAAAATACATATTCATAAATTTCTTACCTGAGTATGTGTTTAGTTTAAGATAATTCCTAATTACTTCTCGTAGTGTCACCCTTCGTACTAAAATGCAGAAAAATGTTTCAATCGTTGCGTAAAAAATATTCCAAAAGTGATTTAATTCTTTAGAAGAAAACGCGTCATATACAACTAAAACATTATTAGATATCTTTGCAATGGACACCATCCTTTAAATAAACTCTGGACGGATATGATATTCTGGCAATTGTACAATTAAAATGTACAATATTTATTGAAGAAATGTATCACACGCAATGTCAATTTCGCAGGGAAATCAATGGGCTATACAAGTATGATCAAATTTAAAAAATAATTTCTTTTAAAGAGGTGAATAAGTGGCTTTATTGAATTTTTAAAATAATGAATATTGCCTCTTATCGGAGGTTGGAAATGATCTGGTAAGCAAGCACTTTTATACTTTGTGCTTAAAATTCGTTGAAATAAAATACTTCTAAAAAATCATTCAATAAATTATAATGTAATCTTTAAGTAGGAAATATTTTCGTTGGCTAAAATTTTACCCTCAAATCAATCCACAATTGACATGTTTTGGGCCGCCATATTGAACTGCTAAAATTCAGAACTATATAGATTAATGTAATATAATCAGAAATAAAACATATCCTATATGAAATCGAACAAGTAACGAAATAACTATCGGATTGGATGTTTTGTCTGGATGTTTATGCGCCAAAATGAAGTTTAGCGGAATTTAATCATATCTTCAAAATCTAAATTAAAGTGCATTATAATACAAATAAAAGTACTGCATTTGAAGATTTGTGGTCGTCAATTTGAATTTGAAGGAGGCAACTCTTCAACTACAGGACTGTTATTTCTTAATTTATCGTACTCTCAGTTAGAACAGACTACAACGGTTTAAGATTGATAAAGATGCTAGGTAAAGAAAAATTAAAAAAAAAGATATATGAACATTCATATTGACTGGAGGAAATTAAGACTAGAATGTCAAGACTTATAAACACGTGAAATATATTGATAATTAGTTATATATTTTTTGGTTTCCTACGTTTCAGATAAGATAACGATAAGATCTTTTTATTGGTTATACCTGCAAAAAAGCATAGCATTGAGCCTTTTTATAATCAAAAACAAACAACATCACTTTGCAGGTCGTATCATATCTTTTACGTGTTTTCTCTTCCTCGAAATTTAGTTTTTTATGTGTTTTCTGTTTTTGGGAACTATCTTTTTATATTTCAGTTCAACCATGGTGTTTTCTTTGTTCAAATTACGGTAATTGATTGTCCATTGGTATTTTTGCCACTGTTTTACTTTTTCATAACGAGTATTTTAGCTTTTGCTTTATTTTATTCATATTCATATCACAGAAAACATGCTTTTCAATTATATTTCTACATAAGTATAAATTATTATGATGATGCCAAAGACACCCATCTCAGTCATATTGTATTACTTTTCTTTAATCATTCTTAAAGTAGGTATGTATGTATTTAAAACCGCAAAATAATCACGTTTAAAGGCCGACTTTTGAATAATAAGTCATACGATACTGACTTTATATAAACTATTAAAATTGTTAATTTTTCTTTCAAATAAGATTCACTGTATATTTGATAATGATTAAGGATGTTAGTCGTCTGTACTGTGATACATTGTTCACCTAATACACCTACTTCATGTAATTGCAGTAATTCCGAATACATTTATGGACCCATTTCCCATGTTATAACAGGAGATCTTAACATCGTTCAAGACCGAGAGTTAAAATCATTCCTCAGTAAAGGACCTAAATATCGTCCCCCGTCAATTATTAATTGGAATGAGTGTCGTAATATCATCCACGACTCACTCCATACTTACTGTTTGAAATGGATAAAACGGGAAAAAGCTGACAAAAAATCTTTGGACTCTTTTTTTAAATCAGTAATGAACATAGTTGATATACGTCTTCAACATTTTAAAGAACATTTTACTCTTAACAATAACCACAATAAACCTATTTCTCGTATCAAACATAAACTAAAAGAACTAGCCAAGGAATTTGTTTTTGTCCCGGCCGATAAAGCTGCTAATAATATTATTATTGTTTGACGTAAATTTTACATTGCGGTTCTGAAAAGAGAAATCACCAATTAACCAATATTCCAACTGACTCCATTTTCAGAAAACGACATCTGTAACAAACATAAACTTTTAGCTACCGCTTTACAAGCAGAACCAAATACAATGAAAGTCCCAACTATGTATTGGCTTCCGAAGCTACACAAAACACCTTACAAATATAGATTCATTTCGTCTTCAAGCCATTGTTCCACTACTAAATTGTCTATTCTTCTTACCAGTACACTTGGTACAATCAAAAACCTGATAATAAATTGTTCAAATAAGGCCTTCGAAAATAGTGGAATTAATTACTTTTGGAGTGTCAAGAACTCGTTGGAAGTACTTGATAAATTGCATGCATATATTGGTGATTTTGAATCTGTTCAAAGTTTTGATTTTTCTACCCTATATACCACATTGCCTCACATTCTCATTAAGAAAAAATTCACACACCTAATTAAATGGGCATTTAAAAAGTCAGAATGTGAATATATATGTTCAAACTCTTTTAGGTCATTTTTTAGTAGCAATAAACAAAAAAACTATGTCAATTGAACATGCTTTGATACTATATATGCCCTTGAATTTTTACTAGATAACATTTTTGTTCGCTTTGGAGATTCCGTATATCGTCAGGTTATCCGAATTCCAGTGGGGACTAACTGTGCACCACTTATTGCGGACCTTTTTTTGTATTGCTATGAGTTACAATTTATGACAAAAATCAGCAAAGACCCATCGAAACAACATCTGATACACAAATTTAATAATACTTTTAGATATTTGGATGATATTTTGGCTCTCAATAATGACGACTTCAGTATGTATACTAAAGAAATTTATCCTGTTGAACTTACTTTAAATAAAGCTAATACTAACAATGACCACTGCCCTTTCCTCGATCTTGATATCTATATCATTAACGGAAAGCTTAATACTAAAATATATGATAAAAGAGATTATTTTTCATTTCCTATCGTTAATTATCCATTTTTAGATGGTGACGTTCCCTTGTCACCATCTTACGGTGTTTATATATCTCAACTTGTACGATTCGCTCGATTATGTAACAATGTTTTAGATTTTAACGAGAGAAATTTATGTATTACTGAAAAATTATTACACCAGGGTTTTCGATATCACAAACTATTCAAAACATTCACTAAATTTTATCATCGGTATAAGGACATCATTCGTAAATATAGCTCAACATACAGACTTCTTATACGTTCAGGTATTTCACATCCAATTTTTTATGGAAATATTCTTTATAAAGCACAAAAATGTCAGTATTCACCTCTGAAGCTAACAAAACCTTTAAATAGACTTATTAAGAAGGGATATAGTTACGATACTGTTGTCAGGTCATTAAAGATTGCATATTTTGGCGTTAATATTGATTCACTTATAGGGTCTTTGCATCGGCACTAAACACATTTATTTAGAAACCAGTTGTTGGCATGACACGGGTTATGTTCTTCTCATATATGTTATGATGGTATGATACTAAACCCCTAACGGGAAGGATTGTGCCTGATATTCATATGATGAAGACATAATCTTTCAAACAGTTTAATTGAAGTCTGGAGCTGGCATGTCAGTTAACTGCTAGTAGTCTGTTGTTATTTATGTATTATTGTCATTTTGTTTATTTTCTTTGGTTACATCTTCTGACATCAGACTCGGACTTCTCTTGAACTGAATTTTAATGTGCGTATTGTTATGCGTTTACTTTTCTACATTGGCTAGAGGTATAGGGGGAGGGTTGAGATCTCATAAACATGTTTAACCCCGCCGAATTTTTGGCCTGTCTCAAATCAGGTGCCTCTAGCCTTTGTCAGTCTTGTATTATTTTTAATTTTAGTTTCTTGTGTACAATTTGGAGTTTAGTATGGCGTTCATTATCACTGAACTAGTATATATATTTGTTTAGGGGCCAGTTGAAGGACGCCTCCGGGTGCGGGAATTTCTCGCTGCATTGAAGACCTGTTGGTGACCTTCTGCTGTTGTCTGTTCTATGGTCGGGTTGTTGTCTCTTTGACACATTCCCCATTTCCATTCTCAATTTTATTCACATGTTTCCAAATAATGTTTTATCATTTCGGGATAATAATAATGTGCTGTAACTTGCATATATATCATATATCAAAGTAAACACGCAGTTCATTGAAAATCTAAATACTAATATGAATTTTGTAGAGTTGATAAAAGCAAAAATGACAAAAGGACACAAGTTTGTAAAACCTTGATGTGCATTTCTTTAGATTTTGAACTAAGTATTTTAAACTATGGTTTCAAATGTTTAACGTGTCAGAGTGCACTCTGTCTTTCATCATGGTCATTCATGTCAGCGTTCTGAACGAAATAATTTGTTTTTAGTTATTCATAATTTACATTTAGTTAATTGTTTATCATAAGCCAATTTTTTATTTCATTTTCACACATACTTTGCACCAATTTACAGTCGACGCATAATTGTATCGAGATAGGAACTGATTGCTTATGTAATATTGAAAAATTAAGCTTATTATTCACGTTGCAAGAAATGGTCCGTCAGAGCAGCAGCAGTTATCGACAGTGTGTTTCAATTATATATCTTAATCATTTTTTTTTATTTGTGGAGTTTAACAATGCTTAGACGTTCGGGTAGGAATCGAGAGAATGGTGCCGTAAGAAGGATAGAGTGTATTGCTCCAGTGCCACAGAGGACTGTTTTGCGTCCTGGCAATAGTGGGTACGCACAATTCGACCGAAAATACAGTTGCATTCGTTTCACAGAGTTTGGAGATGGTACCTATGGCTAATGTAAAATACCAGTCACTACAATAAGCCCTGCAACACAATCAGGTAATAGAAAGACATTTCAAATCCCATCTCAGTGCAGTTAAAACTCTGAACAGACTTATAGTGTGTAACACTATACGCGAGTTTCGTCTACATAAGACTCACCAGTGACGCTCGAATCCACTGAATATTATTGCGGGTTGTTATTTTCGTAATTACAATGCATTTACTTTTTTGTGTTTGAACCATTTTTTTAAAAATTTACACACTGAGAATTAAAATAAAACACGCACTATTACAAATCAAATGTTGTGATTCAGCCCATTCTGAGGCTAGTTTGACATTTTTTCTGACCATACT